TGTTGTATGGATTCAATAGAGATGGTCTGTGCTTGCGATTGTATATAGTTATGTATGTGATGTTTTACTTTGTCTATGTCAGTCTTGGTTAAGTTTAGCTTTCTCTCTTGATTCGGTGTACTGAGGGTAGGTTGCGTATGTTTTAAGTCTATGTTGAACGTTATAGCCAGATGGTCGGATCCAAGTTCGTTAGTTAGGCTTATGTTATTGATGGTGCTTGTTAAGTTTGTTGTGTGCAGTAAAACGTCTGGTGTGGAGTCTGGGTTTCCGGGCATCAGAAAAGTTGATGGGGTGTGCCGTTTTATAAAGTCCGAATTGTCTAAAAATCTTTTCAGTTGTTTTGTTTTGTTTTTGTTGAAGTTAAAGTCGCCCACAATAATTGAGTATTTGTAAAGACTTGCTTTGGTCAGTATGTTTTGTTCTAGGTTGGAGTGTGGGTGTATGTATGTCACCAAATAATTTTCTATCAAAAAACGAACAGAATAAGCGAAAGTTTATAACAGATTATTTGGAAATTTCGTCAATTCCATACCTCTGAAGACTGTTGAGTTTGTTAAAAAAAGTGTTTTTTTAATTTTGTCTTAATTTTTTTCCTTTACTTTCTACTCAAGAAGGCTCTATTTTGTAGAGCTTCACTTAAAAGTACTGACGATCTAGAGGTCTTTTACGCGAAACATTACAAGATAAATTTATAGCTTTGTAAAAATTTAAGAAAAACTTTTTTCAGCTTCGAATTCGGGACCAAAACGAATATAAATTCCTCCTGTTTTTCCCGAAAACCATTAAGGTTTTCTCCAAAACCGATCATAAAACTAAAAGTTTTTCATCGAAAACGCAAAAAACCAATATTTTCTGATGATTTTCTTTTTTTTCTGACAATAATGGGGTCTTTTTTGGTTTCGAATTTTCACCAAAACCAAATAATTGTATCCAGTTTTTTACCGAAAGTAATTAGGATTATCTTGAAAAAACGAGCACAGAGCAAAAGTTTACAAAAATGATTTGGAAAATTTGCCGCCCTCGTCGCTTTGAAGATTTTTAAAGTTCCTTTAAATTTTTAGGTCATTCTCGTTTTAACAAAGTTTCTATTAAGCAATTCTTTCTACTCAAAATTCGCATTATTTTTAAGTTTATAATCGATCGGTTTTACAAGAAAACTTGTCGACTTTCTTTCGACTCAGTTCTGTTGCTGGAAAAACCTAGATTTATTTTTTTCGTTGTTTGAACAAAGTAGTAAAACGTTACTCAGAGAAAATGTTAATGACGCTTTTTTAGATGTGAAAATTTCAGTCTCGGGTCTCGTAAAGCTTTAATAAATCGCGTATAACTCATAAAGCGATGAGCTATAACTCGTTAACTCAGAGAGGGCAACAACTCAATAGCGCAACTCAACCCAGTGTTACCCAGGCCTACTTCCCATACGAGAGCTCTACTTGAGAAGAACTTACAGTTTGAAGTGGGTCCTTTTATAATTTAACAACGACAAGCTGACAGGAATTTCAATTTGCCAACGGTTCATTTTCTGTACTTTCAATCGCACTGCTTTGAATACTAAAAATTGGAGAATCTTTTTCAAAGTTTCAAATATTACGTCTACAGGTTGTTTGGTTGGGGGTTATGCAGGGTAAACAAGGCCTTCCTATCGCCAAACGTATGGGCGGAACAAGGATACCAACAAATAGACCCCGCCTTCTTTAGTTGCCCTTGTGCTTCTTCTCTTTCTCATACGCACAGATTAGGTTCCTTCCTTGTTCCACTCGTACATTGCCGTGCTTCGTTCGTTCGTTTTAAATTGGCGATGCATTTTGTTTTGTTGCAATTTGTTTTATTGTAGCTTTTCTATATTCTAACCCTCAAGTAGATACTCGGCAAAAAATGCCACTTTGATACGGTTTTCATCTAAACGATGAAACAAATTCCAAAAAGTTTGCAAACAAGAAAACTTTTTATTACAAGGGCACGTTGTTCAATTTACTTAGGAAAAGTTCCCAGTTGAGAGCCGTCGATGCTTCAGACGTTCTTGTATAAAGCGATAATATAAATTCGAGTGGAAAGTAAATAACGCAAAAACACGAGCAGCATTTGATACAACTTATTGGTAAAATGGTCCCTTTAGCGTGTTGAAATTGATATGTTTCCAGCCCTTTTAATTCTATGCTGGTTTTTTCTTCTGGGATTGGGCAGAATAATCTAGAGTCAGCAGCTTATTGACCTCTTTCTCCCCTGAGTCGTCTGTATGGCCTTAAGAGCGGGTTCAATTTCCTTTCCGACACACTTATTGTACGTTTCGTTAGGCTCCGTTTTGTGCCCCTTCGGTCGGCGCCAATTGCTGAAAATCAATGACAAGAAAAGTCGATGTCGAAGCATTTCACAGACAAATTTTCCCGGAAGAATTGTTTTAATTAATTGGCAATTAAATCGAAAAACATACATGAACATTTATTTCCTCGTTTTGCTTTGCCAGTGAATTCCCCTTCTTTCAGCTAATAGGAAAGTAATTAGACAGTTTTAAAAGGCGGAAAAGTCCTCAAGAAGAATCGCCCTCAGCCCGTTTTATTTTCATTTCGCTTGGTAAATTGGCTCTTTAAAAACCATCCAGATATAATCAAGCGCTTGCAGCTGGATTGAAGCGCTTAGCCGATCTGGAATAGCTTTGTAATTATTGTAAAAATAGTGGTAACTGGGTGAATTTTTTCCAGAGAAGCGTCGACAGCGCTTTAGAGTCTTCCAGCAAGTTTTCCGCCCAAACTCGGCGATCTTCCGTTATAAATGAGGCGAGTAAGAAGTGGGTGTATAGTGTGGATGCGGCCTTTCGTCAGCAAAGTTCTAAAGCACCGAAAGCCAATGAAAGCCAACCTTCTGATAATCGGTAAGTCAATTTAAAGCTCGTTCTGATGGTCGGAAGTTTTCGCGAATTTTTCCTCCCCCACTATCAAAATGCATGTTGCAACAGGCAAAACAAAATGATTGATGATATTGAACGAGACAGCAAACAACATGCATTGTTGGATGCACTCGGGCTTAATGAAGTTGACAAAACATCAATCAGCCCTTCGAAAAATGACTAGCACAGTTTCGAATTAAATTTCCCTAATGTAAGCAGCGCATATTTTCTAAATTGGATGAATACCCACGCTTATCGCATTGAACGTATATGCAGAAACTGACCCAGTTTATGCCCAGTTACAAAAGGTACAAAAGGGCTGGTAAAACGTGATCTGACAAGTCCAACCCTTTGCCAGTGTCGACCTCAACGTTCGAATGTTGCTTTATAGATCGAGTTTGGAGTTGGTTGAACTGGCAAAAGGTAAATTAGAGTTTAGTTTAATCACGGTGTAGAGAGACATACCAAAGTGGGCGTTTTTGCCCAGGAAACTGTTTATTGTTTAATCAATGCCCATTGTTCAAGTTTCTCGCTTTCACTTGCTTAGTATTAAGTTTGTATATTTTTTCAAGGAAAATGTTGTCTGTTTACCCGTAGACGCTTGATTTTGGGGTGGTTCTTTGAGGCAAGTGGCCTTTTTAACTCGTAAAGTTAATTTGTTCATTGCCTAGATTTGCAGCTAGATGCTATTCGCCTTTAGGAAGTTTATTTCACAAGCATTGACTATGTGAGCGAGTTCATTTGTGCACAAGCTTCTAAAAAAAATAGCTTTTTTATTAACAGGAAGTTTTTTTTATTGCTGTAAATAGAGTTTGGACATTTTTTAAATCGCATACTGCCAGTCCTCGTAATTTGTACAATCATTGACTTTTGCTCAAGTCTTTAAGGAAAAGAAGCATTTTTTAATCGTGTGCAAAGTTGATTTATGCATAAGTTTTTAAGAAAAACTTACTTTTTTATTCGTAGATAGTTGGTTTTTGCACATTATTCTAGGAAAAATTCGTCTCCTCAACTCATATTTTTTTAGTACAAAACTTTAGTGGCCAATTTGCTGTACGATTTTCCAGAAATAATGCCACAATCAGTAACTACGTTGGAATGTTAAATTTTCACAGGTTTTGAAGAAAATGTCGCTTTTGTATTCGAATAAACTTGATTTTTCCACAAGATTCACAGGAAAAGTAGGTTTTTTTATCTGTCGAATATTGATTTTTGCGCATCATCTCAAGGAAGTGGCTGATTTTCGAACATAGAGACAAGTTTTTAAGTATAAATTGCTTCTTTCATTTGTTCAAAGCCGACTTTGTGCAAAAGTTTCTAATAAAGTCATGACTTCAACTCGAAAAATTGTTTTTTCATAACTTTCATAACTTTCATGTTTTTTCATAACTTCATAAAAATTAGGATTTGTGGTTAAATTGCTGTTCAATTTTTCAAGAATAATGTCACAGTGAATAACTATGTAGCAGGTTGATTGTTTCGCAGCTTTTTAAGACACTATAGTCTCTTCAATTCGCATTTTTTCCATATTTGGAAGCTTTTTTCACAAAATTGCTGTTCGATTTTCCAAACTGAATGTCACAATAATTGCAAATTTTTTAAGAATAAGTGTCTTGTTATTCGAACACAGTTGATTGTTTCAGTTCTAGTCCGTTTCAGTTTCTAAAGAAAAGTAACTTTTCGTATTTGTAAAAAGTTCATTTTGCACAGTTTTCTAACTGAAGTCGTATGTTCAACTCGTAAAGTTGCTATTCCAGTCGGTTTTTCGAAAATCAACTGCGCAAACACCCGATATTTTCGAAGGAAGGGGTGACTTTTTTACACTAAACAGTTTTTTCACAGTTTCTTAAAGCTTTAAAGCAATTTTTTGAATCTCTCGAGCCCAAATTCGCGAATTTAACACAAAATGCTGCCAATTTTTCAAATTTCATTTTGCAATGACCCGCTATGAGATAGGTTTGATTTTTGCACAATTCTATAATGAAAACGCGCTCTTTCGATCGCTTCAAAGGAGTTTAGGTAATTTTTCGAACGTTAGCGCATCAAATTATTTAATTTCAAAGAACTTGCCACGTTAGAAGGTTGATTTTTGCACAAGTTTCTAAGAAAATTTCAGTTTTTTAACACGTAGGAAGCTGATTTTTCTATGACTTTAACGGAAGTTTAGATATTTTGTTGAATCGTTGTCCAAAAACTGTCTTCGTTTTACACAAATTGTTGTCAGTTTTCTAAAAATTAATTGTCCGAACACCAGCAAAGTTGAACGGTTGATCTTTGTACAGCCTTCTAAGGAAACGTCGCCCTTTCGAGTCACAGGAAGATCAATTTAAAATTGCGCTTAAAAGCATTGAAGGATTTTTTTTATTCTCGCTCCAATTTATTTAATTTGAAACAACTTCCAGTCGGTTTTTCAAAAATTTATTCCGCTTGGTTATAGAGCTAAATTTTGCTCAATTTTCTAAAGAAAAGTCGCCTTTTTGAGACGTGGATAGTCGATTAAGAAATAGCACTCACAAGAGTTTAGGTATATTTTTGAATATTAGTGCAGACAATTTCTTAATCTGCAATAATTTGAAGTCGGTTTTTCAAACATCAATTCAGCAAACACCCCCCCATGTTAGCGAATTGAATGTTGAACAAGTTCATAAGGATAAGTCGCTTTTTTATTCGTTGAAATTAGATTTTTTTTGTTGCTTTAAAGATAGTTTAGAATTTTGTTTAAATCACAGTAAAAATAATAACGGCCAGTTTTTGAAAACACCCGTTGCATCAAAAGGTTCAGTTTTGTCCAGTTTTCTCAGGAAAAGTCTCAGAAAACGCCC